TAAGCAGCCCCGCGCAGTACAAAATCCGCGCTGCATATTATAGTTAGTCCTTAAGACTTTCCTCACGTGCGTGTGACGGTCGAGACGCGACTCCTTTTCTTTTTCATAGCTTGCTTACCGCAAGGGGGCCGGTATGTTTAGGTCCGCGACCTAAATATATTGCACCACCCTAATCCGCGTTTTGTCACTTGATGTAAGGGCACACAAACACATACATAAGTTACGGCTATCTTTCCAGCCGCTAACAACAAGCCCCACTGTACGGTAACTTATTGGAGGGGAAACTTAACGAAAGTTACTGTGCGGTGGGCTACATCCCTTTTCGTTTGTTGGCACTTTTCCACTTCTTAGAAGACAGCAAGGAGATCACGTCAGCCATCACACCACGTTCGGTAAGCCAACTCTTGTGAGCCACACTATTCAACTTCATAGATATTTACAAATAAAACGATTTTTAATTTCATTGCACTAAACCACTGTGCCTTTTATTTGCTCCTATTTTCGTTACATTAACTTTACGCTGGTGCGCTCCATCTTCGTGCGACGCCACCTGCGTAAATATTGGTCTTCGAGCCTAAAAAGTAACCACATTATACAGTCCACACAGCATCTCATCTGAGTTTTTTCAACTGCCTCAACCGATCGTCACCAGCATCACGTTCGTCCACATAGCATCACAGCAACTGCCACAACCAACGTGCCACAAGAGCCACAGCAAGCGTTTTTTTCTTTGGTTTGCTACACAAGCAACGTTTTGGTTTGCATCACAGCATCACGCTTGCATCACAGCACCACTAGTGTCAGCAACACATTTTTTAATAAAGCAGCATATCGCACTACACGGCATACAACAACACATTAAGGTACGTGGTTTAATTTCATTGCACTTGTGTGTGTACAAATCGTCAAAAAAAAAAAAAAAAACTGTGGTGATATACATATTTTGGAAAAAAAAGACGCGCGTGATTATTGTGTAAACCAAAAAAGGGGAGAAAACACTCAGTGCTTAGTATTTTGTTTAAATAAAAATTAGAACACTTTTCACGTTTTAGTGGGGTACCGGCTAACATTAACGAATTGCGCGAACGTCAATTTTGATTCGTGATACGGTGTTGTTTGTGTAAAATTACCAGTCGCATTTACCGAAGCACAAGATTGATAAAATTTATTCCTTTCTTGCAAAGCACAGAATTTAGTTTTTTCTCATTTTGCTGGCTTTCACTTTTATTTGCATTTTATTAATCGCGTAACTTCAAGTAGATTTTGCGAAACTCCTTTGGTTTCTTTTCACATTGCACTTGTCTATTATTAGTGGCGCGCTTGTACATATTGCTGATCACTTCACTGGGTTGTTTCCCCCATTTATTTGTTGGTTGCATAAAATCACAGCCGCGCTTAAACAAACACAATTTCTTCGTAAGAAATTTTTAAAATAAACTGCATATTTTGAATATCAATTATTTACACACGTATATCACATATTTGATAAGTTGGGTGGCGAGTGACTTGCACATTTTTTGCATATACGCACATACACATACGTAATTACGTATTCGACAGTCTTATTTGGCTGGAAAATAAATAAATCGTTATTTTAAATACACAAGTTATCCTTTGTTGTTCTTATAAGAATTAGACTTATTTCGGGCTAAGCGTTTTTAGTGGCAATCTTTTTCTACGAAGCGGCGATTCACACAAAGAAATCTTTTGTCTTGCGTCCACTTCAGTTGCCTTTGGTCAAAAATGGACACCTTTATTCGTCAGGCAGATTCAGTAACAGAATTCGAATCTGACTACAACTCTATGCAGCCATCAGAGCACACAAAGCACTCATTAACTTTCCAAAAGGATGAATTAAAGGCTCTGTGGGAAAAGGTAAAAGGGTCTTATGATGAACTTTGCGCATCAAAAGAGCTCGAAACCAAAGACCTGGCAGCAATTAAAAAGAAGTATAAAAGCACCTACTTCAGTTTTTTGCGATGCCAAGCAGCAATGGCTGATCTTTCAGAGCAACTCGCAAAGACTGAAAAGGAAAGCGAATACAAGTCAGGTCGCGAGCTTAATATTCATCTCCCTCCTTGCGACACAGACATTTTTAAAGGACATTATCTTTCGTGGCCATCGTTTAGGGATATGTTTACGGCTATATACATTCTAAATAAGCGCCTTACCCCAGTTGAGAAGCTGTATCACCTCCGGCAAAAAACTTAGGGGAGGCCAAGGAAATAGTGCAGAGATCCCCATTAACCAACGATGGCTTTGGTGCGGCCTGGAAAAATCTTTGTGACAGGTACGAAAATAAACGTATCCTGTTCAATGCCCAATTAAAGGTATTATTTCATTTAAACGCAGTTGAGAGTGAATGCGGTAGCTCCATCAAGAAACTGCAACGCGACATAAATAATTGCATCTCGTCGCTTCAGTGTCATCAGATTGATGTTTCAAATTGGGATGCAATATTCACATATTTGCGTTCGACAAAACTGCCAGAAACGACACTGGCGCTATGGGAGCAAACCATAGAAAATAAAACTGAGATTTCCAAATGGGTAGATATGGATAAATTCCTATCCAATCGGTTTCAAACACTGGAAACCGTGACAGGTCTTAGGGGAGATATAGTTTCGAAACCTAAACCACCAAGCTCTCGGAATTCTGCAGAGACGCCTGCAAAAAAGCTTGGCGCCTTTCAAGCCAGTGTAGCAAAGGCAACATGTAAAATGTGCAACAGCAATGTACACAAGCTATCAAAGTGCGACAGATTTTTGCGTCTAAAGCCGACGGAGCGAGTAGATTACGTGAAGAGCATTCGCAGTTGCTTGAATTGTTTATCTGCTGGGCACACAGTCTCAAGATGTACCAGCTCATTTAACTGCAGCACTTGTCATTCGAGACATCACAAGTTGCTCCATATGCCAATTCAGCCAAATGCGACAAACGATCCATCGGGTAGCGTGGAATCTACTCCAAACCAGGCTCAATCAAGACGCGAATCTGAAAAAGGAAACATCAAATCGGTTACAAATGTAAATTCTTGTTACGCAAATACAAGTAAAGGAGTTTTGTTAGGAACAGCACGCGTAAACATACACTTTAATGGTATACATTTTTCGGCTAGAGCGCTTATAGATTCTGGTTCTGAGTGCTCGTTCATTACTGAGAGACTCAAACGGAGAATCAACCTGCCATCAAAACGCTTGCATGCCCAAGTTTCGGGCATCAATAACTCTGTATCTGCGCAGGTAAAAGAAGCGTGTGCTATTCAACTTCGGTCACCCACAGACCCGTTAATTAATATAGAAGCAATTGTGCTGGTTTTACCACAATTAACCGGGGATCTTCCGACTTGTCAGATAAGCGCAATGACGCGGCAATCGTTCCCAGACTTGGTCTTGGCGGACAAAAGATTCTTCGTCAATGAGCCAGTTGACCTGGTCTTAGCAGGAGATATTTACCCGCAAATAATTTTAAGCGGAATGAGGAAGAATGTATTAAATACGCTTCTCGCGCAAGAGACCGTGTCCGGTTGGATACTGACTGGTCGCGCGGACTCAGTCAGTCCAACTAACAATATCGTATCGTATTTTAACGAAGTCACGTTGGACAAGCAGCTAGCTGCATTTTGGGAGCTGGAGGATGTCCCAAAGGAAAAAGGCATCAACGAAGATGATAAATACTGCGAAGAGCTCTTCAAAGCAACTACAACACGAAATACCGATGGAAAATACATTGTGTCTCTACCTTTTAAACGGGATTTTCCGAAAAATGTGTGCTTAGGATCTTCGCTGAAAAGTGCATGCTCTCAGTTCTACCGGAACGAGACGCGACTAGCGAAAAAGCCTGTCCTTCAAACAGAGTACAACCGGGTTGTATCTGAATACGAGACACTAGCACATATGTCAAAAATTAACAAAAACATTTCACCAGATTCAACGGACTGCTATTTTTTACCGCACCACGCCGTTTTAAAGGAAGAAAGTACCACTACAAAGGTCAGGGTTGTATTCAACGCATCATGCCCAACCGCTAATGGCATGAGTTTGAATGATGTCCTCCTTCCAGGTCCTGTACTTCAGGCCGATTTAACGATCCTCATACTCCGTTGGAGACTGTTCCAATACGTCTTCAACAGCGATATAGAGAAAATGTATCGGCAAATATTTGTAAATGAGAATCAAACGAAATATCAGCGCATAGTTTTTCGCACCTGCCCAAGAGAACCAATTAGCTTATACGAATTAAAAACGGTGACTTTTGGCATCAACTGTGCTCCTTATCTCGCGATAAGGACATTGCATGAACTAGCTGATGAGGTCGAGAGCTCGTTTCCAATCGCATCCGAAATTTTGCGAAAGTGTATGTACGTGGACGACGTACTTGCTGGAGGACACAGCATCGAAGCAGCGATTAAAGCTCGAGAAGAAATACTACAGGTACTGGATTCCGCAGGGTTCCCGTTAAGAAAGTGGACTTCGAACTCCAGTAAAATACTTGAAGGTATACCGAAATCTCATTTACTCACCGACGATTTTCTAGAGTTTGACGAGTCTAGTACGGTAAAAGCACTTGGCATCAGATGGAATGCCAAATCTGACTACTTCTATTTCACAGCAAAACCAATAGAAAATCGTGACGTCATCACTAAAAGAGCGATACTTTCAGCTATCGCCAAACTGTTTGACCCGCTCGGTTGGCTCGCTCCAGTGGTAATTGTCGCCAAGATCATTATGCAAAATAACGGGTGATTTTTTTGAGGTTAGGATTTTCATGCATTAGTATTTGACAGATCACGTGGGATTTCAGACATGGTGTCAAAGAGAAAGATGCTCAGTATGCTTTGAAATTTCATCATGAATAGACTTACTAACGAGCAACGCTTGCAAATCATTGAATTTTATTACCAAAATCAGTGTTCGGTTCGAAATGTTTTTATCGACAAATTTTGTTCAGCGATGAGGCTCATTTCTGGTTGAATGGCTTCGTAAATAAGCAAAATTGCCGCATTTGGAGTGAAGAGCAACCAGAAGCCGTTCAAGAACTGCCCATGCATCCCGAAAAATGCACTGTTTGGTGTGGTTTGTACGCTGGTGGAATCATTGGACCGTATTTTTTCAAAGATGCTGTTGGACGCAACGTTACGGTGAATGGCGATCGCTATCGTTCGATGCTAACAAACTTTTTGTTGCCAAAAATGGAAGAACTGAACTTGGTTGACATGTGGTTTCAACAAGATGGCGCTACATGCCACACAGCTCGCGATTCTATGGCCATTTTGAGGGAAAACTTCGGAGAACAATTCATCTCAAGAAATGGACCGGTAAGTTGGCCACCAAGATCATGCGATTTGACGCCTTTAGACTATTTTTTGTGGGGCTACGTCAAGTCTAAAGTCTACAGAAATAAGCCAGCAACTATTCCAGCTTTGGAAGACAACATTTCCGAAGAAATTCGGGCTATTCCGGCCGAAATGCTCGAAAAAGTTGCCCAAAATTGGACTTTCCGAATGGACCACCTAAGACGCAGCCGCGGTCAACATTTAAATGAAATTATCTTCAAAAAGTAAATGTCATGGACCAATCTAACGTTTCAAATAAAGAACCGATGAGATTTTGCAAATTTTATGAGTTTTTTTAAAAAAAAAAGTTATCAAGCTCTTAAAAAATCACCCGTTATTTGGTTGGAGGGAACTGGTTGGGACGATACCGTGTCTCCGACCACATTAGACCGTTGGCAGGCATTTATGCACGACTACATGGACATTAATACCATTCGCATACCAAGATGGGTTCACTTTACGCAAACAGATGACGCCGAAATACATGGATTCAGCGACGCTTCGGAGAAAGCATACGCGGCGACTGTTTTCTTGAGAGTTAAGACTGCGGAAAAAGTTGTGGTCAGCCTTCTAATGGCAAAAACAAAGGTAGCGCCCGTCAAAACAGTATCGTTACCCCGTTTAGAACTTTGCGGCGCAGTTTTGCTTTCGGAAACCGTAGAAGCGGTCGTCGAAAATCTGAGTCTTGGACATTTGAAAATAAATCTCTGGGCAGATTCGACAATAGTCCTCGCATGGATCCGGAAACCACCGTGTTCGTGGTCAACTTTCGTTGCTCACCGAATAACAAAAATTGTAGACAAGGTGGGAACCGAAAACTGGCGTCATGTGGATTCGGCATCAAACCCAGCAGATCTGGCGAGTAGAGGACTTTCGGCGAGTGATCTAGTCAACAACTCCTTGTGGTGGCAGGGTCCTTCTTGGTTACAAGAAGACTATTCGAGATGGCCAGCACAAGAATCGGACTTTGACACAACCATTGAAGAAAAAAGGGTGCATGTTCATGCAACAACAAAAGTAAAAGACTTTCACGACATTCTCGATCGATTTTCTGATTTATCACGGGCTTTGAGAGTTATATCGTATATTATGAGATTCTATCAAAGAATCAATCCCAAAACGAAATATTCCTTTAAAGCGGAGTCTCGTTCAATTTCGGCCAACGAAATTAAAACAACGACCCAACGCTTAATAACGATTTGTCAAAAACAATATTACAGCGAAGAATATACAAGGTTAAAATCTGGAAAATCCATCGACGGAAAAAGTGAAATCCTGCCTCTTAACCCGTTCATCGACAAAGATGAGATTCTGAGGGCTGGTGGTCGTCTGAGCGCATCTAGCGATCTGTCCTACAATGAACGTCATCCTATCATTCTTCCGTATGGTTGTAGGATGTCCCGTCTCTTGGTCCAGTTTATCCATAAAATTTTCGTGCACGGAGAAAACCAGCTGATGCTGCGACTTATCCGATCGCAGTATTGGATTCCCAGAGTGAAAAACTTGATACGGTCCGTCATACATAACTGCAAGGTCTGCACGATCCACAAGAAACGGTCGCAAACTCAACTTATGGGAATCCTTCACAAAGAACGCACAACCTTTTCCCGTGCATTCACAAACACGGGGGTGGATTTCGCGGGCCCGTTCGACATCAAGTCCTACCGGGGCAGAGGATGTCGCATGTCAAAAGGCTATGTCTGTCTCTTCGTCTGTTTCTCGACGAAAGCCATTCACCTTGAAGCTACCAGCGACCTTAGCACCGCGTCCTTTCTAGCCGCTTTCGCAAGATTCGTTGCTAGACGAGGATGTCCAAAAAACGTTTACTCCGACAATGGTACTAACTTTGTCGGAGCCTCACGATCTTTACGATCGGAATTCAAAGCATTTTTAGCTGAGGCACGCAATAGCACCCTCACTAAGTACAGCCATCAAGCCTTAGAGTGGCATTTCATACCCGCTGCGGCCCCTCACATGGGCGGTTTGTGGGAAGCTGAGATGAAAAGTTTCAAAACCCACTTTAAAATGGTCGCGTCCTACCACAAATATACTTTTGAAGAGTTCACCACACTCTTATGCCGTATTGAGTCTTGTCTCAACTCACGACCACTAAGCCCCTCTTCAGACGAACCGTCTGACCTGGAGCCGCTTACCCCCGGTCATTTTCTGGTCGGCGGGCATCTTCGATGGCAGAAACTGAAGGCCCTACACCAGACATTCTGTAGGAGATGGAAAATGGAATACCTCACCGAGATGCAGAAACGCATCAAGTGGAAACATCCACAAACCAACTTAAAACAAGGGGACCTGGTCGTTGTTAAAGAAGAAAACCTGCCACCAAACGAATGGAGATTGGGCAGAATAGTCAAGCTACACCCAGGTTCCGACAACCGAGTAAGAGTAGTCGACATCGAAACAGCTAAGGGAGAAATCAGAAGGCCAATTGCAAAATTGGTCCTACTTCCGCCCTACAACGAAACTAGCACCACCTCGCAGTAAACTTCCTACCTACTCTGTATTCCACTTCACAAAACCCACCTATTCCACTTCTTACTCCCTACGCAATCCCACATCTCAAATATCAATGGCGTTTCAGAGTTCAGCATTCTCAAACACCAAATATTCCAGCAACAGAATTATCGCTATGAATAATTTCAAGAGCGCATCTCAAAAACATGAATACTTAAGTAATATAAAAGCATCTTCTGATTCCGTCACCCAGAGTTTTTATAGCATAATAACAAACTCCTATTTAAACACAATAACATAAGACACATATTTATATATGCCATATACATACATATAAGTATACATAGGCTTGTTATGACGACACCCATATCAGAACAGTATTTACTCAAACTCAACAAATTTTTGAAGGTAAACTCATTCATTGGTTTTTTTTATATGAATAATTCATATGCCGTTTTGAATGAATTCATGCAGCCCTCTACTTCGTATGCACGAAAAATTGTATTGTAGGGATTCAAATTAATAAAAATCAGTGTTTTTGCTCGACATTCGAATTTATTCTGTTTTCTATAAATTCGAATATTTTCATTCAACCGACGTTAAGATAATTGTTCCTATATTCTAATTTGCTGCTTAATTGCTTAATTTTTTTCTACAGTTCCTATCAAACGAAAGCAAAAACCAGAAATGAAGTTTCATGAACTATGTGGTAGTTTAAATCTACACTGCAGTCTTTATGTGCCTTTAGTTCACAAGATCATAAGAGACTGCATCTGGAATATCATGAGCTGAATTAGGGTGCATGAGCCATTTCAAAACCAAGACTGTAGCTTCCAGCGGCGGTAGAGTTGTGCAGCAGCCCAAACAAGGCGATTCAAATTGTGTTTATTTGAGAGATTGGAGCCTTCTGCATTTGGGACAAACCCTACGCGTACACTACTTCCAGATCTAACGAATCTCAGAGCATTAATAACTCACGACCCTCGGTTTGTTCAATATCAGCAATAACCCAAATAGTTAGGAAGTGTAGTTTAGCGTTACCAATATTTTTGGTTGAATGTTTACCGATGAAATATTTTAAATTAGTCAAAAGAGTCGCCGTCATATCTCGATTTGAGAGTTGGCCCAGACCCCGCGCGCGCTGGCTTAGCCCGGTCTCGAACCCATAGTGAGGAAATTTTCTTTCGCCGTGCCAGGCCAAGTGGTGAAACTCACCACAAAACCACAAATTACACCTTTTACGAGATTACAAATTTCACGGTGTGTTCGGGGAAATAGTGATCGAAAAGTTTGTACTACATAAAGGTCTGTTCGATGCAAAAGCAAATGGCAACAAATGTAATGTAATAAAATCTTATAGCGATGGTCACCTTCCACAGATCTGTTTTAACCCAAATACGAAACCTTACCTTTTTTATAAAAACGCCACTTTGTAGAGCTTTGTAAGTCTATTTATTTTTTAAGAGTAAGACCATTAGTCTATACTTAATACCGCACAAGTACGCGGAGACTGAAAGTCTGAATTGGCCCAGTTTTGTACTTCACCAAGTCAAAACAAATTAAATAAATAAACAAATAGTATATATATATATATATATATGTACATAAGTATATCACACGTATATATAAAATGTGCTTTCACGAGATATACAGGCATACATATATTCGCCACTTGCCACCCAACCCAAAACTAATAGTACGTAACTTTTTACACCTACGGACATAACTACGAGACTCATTTAAAGAATGACTCGTTTCTCGGCTAATCGCGCACATGCGGAAGAACGCGCTGATAAATTCACGGTTCTATGCCGGCTATGCGGCGGAGCGCATGGCATTCGACTATGCCCCCTTTACCGCGGCAAAGCGGTCGAAGCAAGGCTGCGTGCAGTCCTGCTGCATAAATATTGCCCAAACTGCCTCTCGCCGTTCCACCGCCTC